ATGGAATTGATGACCACCCTGTACGGCGCTGAATGGTGTTGTAGATGGTTATGCTAAACCTGATCTGGACGCACATTGTAGCACACGTTGATCTCTTACGGGTCTTTTCGTCGAAGCACATTGAATTCTAGCCGGTCGCAGAACATCCCATACCAGACATTTCCGGTGTGCCGCAGAAGGAACATGTCCTTGTCCTCCTGGTGTATGACTACCTATCTGAAGGCATAAAGCTGTTGATTGAGATACGCATCAATTAGGTCATCCGAAATCTGCCGGGTCGGAAGACTCCAGTGAAGATGTTCATGCTGTTTCAGCCACCTAGAAGGGTCATCAATGCTGTTGTATTGCTCGAGTTTGGGGCTTCCAACGGGCGCTCATTGTTGAATACCTTTGAATCTCTCGAGTTTCAGATATACGGGTACAGGGTAGTTGTGTCAAGGTCTTATTCGTGCCCGATGCCCCCGAGTGCCACCATATGCCGCATTGTTCTCTATGACTCGGACTCGGCCAGCGACCTGCACCATGTAATCTGACAAGAGTGACTGGGGCGGCGGGCTGCGCGTTGGTCATGTATACTGACGGCGGCTACATCAGTCGAACAAACAAGCCACATGCTCAAGCAAGACAGATGTAACCGCCAAACATGCCAATCCACCAAACCCGCGTGGCTGTTATGGTAAAGAGTGGATAAGTGTCAGAAATACGGTGGCACTATTATGGAGATAAAAAAAATCGCGGCACTATTATGGAGATAATATATTGTGATGTATTGTTGTCTGTTCTCTTCTTGTATAACTTGAAGAAGTGAGGTCTTTTATCTTTACTCCCCAACCACCTGAATAAATTCGGGTGGTTGGCCAACCTTCACATTTTGTAGTTACTGAGAATCTAACAATAAGCTGCGTCCCTCCCGGAGAATCCTTCTCCGTGGATAACACAGAATCACAGGGATAATTTCCATGCTGTACGATTCAGTGACAAGCCCTGGCGATCTGATGAGTTCGCTGCAGAAAGTGAAGAGATCTCCACCGCGTCTTTGAAACCACACTCTGGATCCCAAATTCATGCCTATTAGACTAGGTGGACCGTATTATGTAGCCAGGCTTGATGTTCAAGCAGCTGAACTCTGAAGCAAGCATCAACAAAACTAATATATCCTCCGATGTAGTGCTTTGCTAGCTCCAAAAACGGATCACCTCTTCAATGCCAGGGCTGTGTTAATTGAGTCTGTTAATTGTTGTCTTTTGAAATATTTAAGAAGCCGGTGTCATGTCTCATCGACAGTATGCTGGACTCGCAATACGCTGGTCCACGAGACTACTTATTTCTTAGCTCTCTTTCCATACATACTTTTAACACCGTGGGTATGCTGATGCTACCTTTTCTTATCTCTCGCCTGATGGCTTCAGAGTCTATGGCTGGTACCATACATAGCAGAAGTCCGTCTGGGCATTATTGTGGTACTCGGGGCCTCAGCCTGGAGGAGAGCGAGCTGCTGAAGCGGCAGGCCCCCCAGCCCGATAATGGAGGACCCATTAACTTGGGCTTCGTCATGCATTTCTGCTGCAACGGGAACCAAAACTGTCCTTCTGTAGGCCTCGCTTCCAAGAGTTCATGTCAAAATCCTGCTAACACGTTACCTAAAGAATGACGTCGCCCAAGAGACCGTTGACCAAATGAACACGGTTTTCAAGGTGACGGGGATAAATTTCAACCTTGAAAACGTTACGTACATTAGCAACAGGCTCTGTAATGCTGGCTTAGACAGTGACCAGGCTATTGATAGAATGAAGTCCGAGATTCGTCAAGGCAACACGAGCACCCTCAACATTGTATACGTGCCGACAAACCAGGGGGCCGGAACTAAGGGCAAGTGCATTTTGCCGCCACCCAGCGCCCCCATTTCCCAGACAGTTGGTAGTATTGACGGATGCGCCGTCGCTATGGACACTCTGCCCAAAAGCAACGGTAGCAACTCTCCATCTAGAGGCGATGATGTTAGCGAGTTTCTATCGTCCAGAAGCGAGGGTGATGGGGCAAATCCAATCGGGCTCTTGATAACAACTACGCACGAGACGGGCCACTGGCTCGGTCTTGGACATGTAGAACAAGGAGGTCAGGCGCAGAGACCTGGACGACACTTGAATGGGCCATTTGGCCGCCTTTTTGGACAACAAAGAGGCAGCGGCACCGGGAACGTCATGGAGCCATTTGTCACGTATAAGGCCCCCATCCTCTTTTCTCCCTTTCCTTCAAGAGAATCCAAGTGGACGACTAACACGGCGCATTGTAGGCCAGGAAAACAGTATGAATTCAGTCAAGCTCAATCCCAGCAGATGCGCCAGGTAGCGCTCCGGCGCGTAAAGGAGAAGCAAGCTCCGATAAGGGGCCAAAATTCCCCCCCTAAGACTCCCCAGGGCCCAAAGGGCCCTCAAATCCCGGATGGAAATCCCAGAGATCCTTCCGGGTCTGATAATGGCCCAGTATTCCCTGGTGCTCCTGGAGGTAACGGCCCCCAGGGCCCGAATGGCCCTCAAACTCCTGGTCAAATCCCGGGAAGTCCTTTTGGGCCAGGCATCAAGCCAGGCAAACCAGGCTTCCCTGCAGCTCCTGGCTTTCCTGGGGAGAATG